AAAGGGAGATGTGTGTCCCAAGACCTTGGTCTCCCTTCTGTATATATACTTAGCATTGCTGCTAGCGTGCGGTTAAAGCGCTTCGACCTGACCGTTAGCCTGAGGTCCGGGAGAGAGGTTGTTCTGGTTTTACCACTCCCAGCAATTTACATAGCTCTTGGAAAAGTGTAGCTTCATATTGTCTACCCTGATCACTATGTAACATTTTTGGGGTACCAAAAGCATATCCACTCTTCCACCACTTTCTTATCCACTGTTTTAGCCTCGATATTTGGTATTGCATAGGCCTCTGTCCATTTAGTGAAAGAATCTGTGACCACCAGAACATATTTATTTCCAGCAGTGGTTCTTTCAGGGGACCCATGATATCCGTTGTCAATCTCTCCATGGGTGAGCCTGTTATATACTCCTTCATGGGTGCTTTCTGCTTTTTAGGTGTTTTCCTGGCTACACATTTGTCACAGTGTAGACAGTGGTCTCTGACATCTGCCTTCATTCCAACCCAGTAGAATGACTGTTCGAGCTTCTGCGAATGTCTTGGAAACACCAAGGTGACCTCCCAAAGGTGAATCATGACAGCCGAGGATGAATCTTCTCTTAACAGCTGGTACAACAATCTGCCAGCGCCATTCCTTACCATCATTACTTTCCCATCTCACGATGAAGAATTCCTTGTCGCATAGACAAGCGATCAAACTGACCCCATAATGCCTTGCAAGCATTAGAGTATCCTGAAACCGTTTCCCATTTGGACGTTTATTCTGCTCTCTAGCCTTAAACATAAGACTGATATCGGGATCTTGCATTTGCATGTCTTTTAACTCTTCCTTTCTGAAGGTTATATCATTTTGTTTTGCAGATTGGGATCTGGTGATGGCAGAACAAACAGCACTTGTCTCAGCAACACTGCATGGTCCTTCCTCTCTATGACACTGCGGACAAGGGGTACAAGGTCGGCGACTTAGAAGCGTCAGCATTCCAGTGAACTTCGGCGGGTCTATGAACTTCTGTCAAGTCATAGTTACCTAACTCCTGCAACCATCGAGCCATTTGATTGACTGGCCTCTTGATGCGCTTAGCTAGCGACTGCAGAATTGTCAGTTCTGATGGTGACAGGCCTACCAAAGACATATGGATGCCAATGGCGACAAGCTGCAACTACTGCCAACAGCTCACGGCGAGTGACACAGTAATTCTTTTCAGCTGGAGTGAAACATTTACTGTAGTAACCCAGTACCACCTCTCTGCCATTTTGATTCTGTGACAGGACAGCTCCAAGACCATCACCAGATGCATCACTGTCGATGGTGATTTCACCCTCTCGTGTGGGAAAACCAAGGACAGGGGCTGAGGTGAGGCGTCTTTCAACTGTATGAAAGCTCTGTCAGTTTCCTCAGTCCATTGGAACTCAACCGGCCGGACTGGAAAGTTTTGTCAGTGGTCTCGCGATTTTCGAAAAATCTTTGATGAATTTTCTATAATAGTTGGCTAGTCCCAGAAATTGTTGGATCTGTTTTCTAGATTTGGGAGTTGGCCAGGATCTGGCGGTTTCAATTTTCTCTGGCTGGGTGTGTACACGTCAGCCGAAATGACATGACCCAGAAAGTCCACTCTCTCCTTGAAGAGATGGCACTTCTTCGGCTTTAATTTAAGGCCTGCTAAAGATAAGCGATCAAGACTGTTTTCAGGCGGATCATTACTTGATCAAAATCACGCCCAAACACTATTATGTCATCCAGGAAACAGAGACATTCGTTCCACTGGAGACCTCTGAGAATCATCTCCATGAGCCTTTCGAGCGTGGAAGGGCGTTGCAGAGACCAAATGGCATAACATTCCATTCGAACAAGCCGAAGCGTGTTGTAAAGCTGTTTTCTCCACGATCACGTGGATCCATCTCGACTTGCCAGTAGCGGCTTGTAAATCCATGGTACTGTACATCCTTGCACCCCTAGGCTATCGATACAGTCATCGATCACGAGGCAAAGGATATGAGTCCTTTCTAGTGCGCTTCGTTTAAAACCACGAAAATCGCAACAGTATCTCCAACGACCATCCTTAGCAGAACAAGAACTGTTGGGGAAGCCCAGGGACTACTGGATGGTTGTATGACACCTTGCTCCAACATTCGATTAACTTCTTTCTCCTCCGCCTCTTGCTTAGCAAGGGTCTGACGGCGAGGGGCTTGCTTGACTGGTCTCGCATCACCCGTGTCAATGCGGTGTTTAACTAAGTTGGTACATCCAAGATCATCATCGTTCTTAGCAAAACTATCTCTATAATTGTATAGGAAATCTCGAAGCTTATCTTGTTGGCTTGCGTCCAAATTAACCTTGCCGGTCAAACAAATCTGCTAAATGATCAGGTACCTTAGCATTGTTAACTCTGACACGTGAGACTCTCTTAGCCAGTTTATTTGAAACTAAGTTTACATTCTCACACTGTCCCAGGATTCTACCTTTAGCTAGGATATATTCTTTGTCTAGAACATTGATCACTTTGACTGTAGCCACTTTACTTTGATTAGTAACTACTGAATTGCCCATAACTAACCCATGTGCACATAACATGTCTTTGCAGGGTTCTATGAGGATAGAGGACTGATCTCTCTGAATCTCAGGCAAGCTAACTTGGACATAGGATACAGACTGGGGTGGCAATGGGACATCATCAGCAACCATGACAGTGGTCTCTGTGCCAACCATTGGCAACCATCTGCCCGGCGCAACTGGATCCTCGACCCAGCGATGTCGATCACACCCTCAAGTCTTTCTAACACATCTATTCCAATAATGCCATCGCACTCATGAGAGTTATCTACCTCTGCAATGATGAACTCTTCCTTACTAGGGCTTAAATCATCTCCCAGAAAGACAGATGCTTGGAAAATTCCAAAAGCCTGGAACAAACTTCCATTCACAGCCTCAAGCCTCATGTCAATAGGATTAATAGCTATAGAGGAGGACAAGCTTGCTTGCAGCATGAGACAACAGAGACACTTGGCTACCAGTGTCAACAAGTAAGGTGAAATAAGTATGACCTATCCTTAAATTAACAAATTGGCCCTTATCACCTATTTTAAAGCAAGCTTGGAAATCTGCTTTAACAGCAACTGGGTCAGGTGGATTGTGTAGAGGATTATCGGGAATTGCCTCCCCTTTACTGGAAACCACACTAATCCCCTTTCCACCTGACCACTGGATTTAGCTGATTTAGGCTTTGAGGTCTCCTTAACTGGTACATTCTCCACTGGCATCCGACCTAATTCCGGGCCAGTGGGTAACCATTCCTGACAACCATTCATCTGGGAATTCAGAGGACACTCAGAAGCCCAGTGACCTGTCTGTTTACACTGGAAACAGGCATCTTTATCTCTCCTGCTCGTGCTTGGCGGCGAGATTCCTCCGCCGACCGGAATTGTCTTTCTTCCATGGGGACTGAGACTGATTTTGTCTGTCCTTATTGCGATTGTAGTTTTGTCTTCCTCCTTCAGGTAAACTACGGGGAGCGAGAAGAGTGAAACTGCCGCGGCAGCAAGTTTTTCCACAGTCTTCTGGAGGCTTGATAACTGGTCAGTAAGAGAATCGATTTTTTTTATCCACGGAAGAATCTTCCGACTCAAACTGAACTCTCTTCCCTCGAGAAGGATGAGGACTGACAGATCTCACAGATTTCTTTGAACCTGGTTTTCCAACAACAGACTCATAAAGTTCTGCAACCTCGATAGCATCTTGAAGAGTACAGACACCTCTATCAAGGAATCTAAGTCTTAAGTCTTTATCGACTGCTCTTTTAAGTGCATCTAAGGCAAACCTTTCTTGCATCTCAAAAGGTAGATCTGGATAGGCTCCCAAAGCCAAATGCCAGATATCATCACATAACTCAGCGATAGTCTCACTAGGTTTCACGGGTTCTCATCATGAGCTCCTCCCGTTTGACATCAGGGATACAAGTACCATACCGTCTTCTTAACTGATCAGACAGCCAATGACAGTCTAAGCGGCTCTCTTACAGGTAAACCTGCATAGAAGCGTTGTGCTGCTCCCTCCAGAGCACATCCCAACATCTGAGCAGCCTGGGCATTGTTCCAGCGGGACTGATTAGCAATATTGCTAAACTGGGCCGAAAACCCGATAATCACCAGTTCCATTGAACTTGGGCAACTGCAGAGAAATTCTACCAATGGAAGTATCTCCCTTGAGGTACCTCTATCCATTGAATCTATTCTCTGAGACAAACTGAGAACACAGCTGGACAACTGTGACACCAGACCCACAAGATTTGGATCTGAACTCACCACTGGGCGTGGCGGTTATGCGAAGGTGTAGCATGCATAGAATTGTCTTGAGAATTGAGCTCAGGATGCAAACCATTATTCACTGGGGAATGAATGAATGTGTTTGAACTAAGTACATCAACTGGTGAAAGCTGAGGCGGTATAGTACCAGCAACATTCTCAGACTCAGCCCTATAGGCATTATCTGGAGAAGTATTTGTCACAGAGTGTAACTCTGGAAAGCTGTGCATTTGGCGAGAGCGTAAAATTACCTGCGGACCCTCCACAGAGTTTACTCTCCTTAGATCAGGGTTATTCTGACTGTGAAACTCCATTTTTATGTAATGGGAAAATTTTACTTGAAGTTATAATAAAAGTTACCAACTAACTTATGTTTTATTCAAGTTATTTCCTAAATATTTCTTTGATCCACAAGAAAGGATCCCACCGCTGCCACCATAAAACTGTGGAGGCGCCGGTTCAATGGGGGTAAAACGAGAAAAATATATTTTATTTAAGTAGCATGTCTGTTCTGTGGACCACTCTCGCTTTTACCCTGTTAATTACAGTTTTTACTAATACAAAGAAATAACTTGACAACATGAAGTTGAAACAATAAACAAGGATTTATTACACATAAATTTATCACAGTCAATAATGTCAAATATTATTTAAATCAGAACAAACTTCTGATTAAGTAAGTACTGTCTCAAGCAAAGCATGGATATATTATACTTACATAATATTGTGGTGTTCTCGGTAGATACCGGTGAAAATATATACGGAAAATCTGCGACTCGCATCCACCACAATCAGTCTAGAACTGTCAACTGTCAACTGACAACTGACCAGAACTACGTCACAATCCTCATGACGTAATTTGTTTACAAAACAACAAGCAAAACATATTAATTTATTATTGGTGCAGAATAATAAATGTAGAGCGTCACAGGACTCATTATAATTGTGGAAATGTCTTTTGACGCTTAAAATACAGAATTTGCAAAAGTAATTTTGTCAACGAACTGTGTACACATAAACTCATGACGTCATCATCAAATATGGCCGCCTCCATGGATAACATTGCCGAAGCAATAGCTCTGACGAAACGACAGTTAAATATAAGTTCTATCAGGTAAAAAGGATATGGATTACAATGTACACAACATCGAGTAGTTTTTTTTAATGTTATTCAAACGGTATTACGTCTCACAATCCAAAGACTGAGGATAAATGCAATGAAACTCACTGCCTATATACCGACGGGGAAAACTCGTCGAATGGAAACACACCGGAATTAACCCGAGGCCAAATGCGAGAAAAGATAATTAGGGCTGTATATTACAATATGTACCTGCTAGGCTGTTACAAGCACTGAAATATAGTACTGCAGTAACCAGCTATACAACAGCAACCTGTAGATGATAATGTCTGGGCTAGGTAAACCGGGTATGTCGACCTATGAATCACTCACATTGAAAGCACAGTGACAGTCGGAATCTCTCACACAGAAACCACCGTCTGTATCTATCACAGTGAAATTCAATGACAATGTAGTGCCTTCAATGGCTTCTTAGCACATTGTAAAAAGACTAAATACTCTCAAATCTTTCTTGGAAATGACATTTCTGTAAATGTGTATTCAGTGTTGTAGAATATAGTTTTGACTTCTTCAGAATGGAATATTCTTCAACTGTAATAGTACTGTTTTCTACACAGTTATTAAGTCAAAAAGGTGAAAACATTAATACCCTCAGACAAAACATATACATGACCATGCCTATCAACACAAATACTACGGGGACACTTTATGTCAGTAAGGATGTTCCCTACAAACTGTCCCGACTCAGTAAGATGGATGACTCTGTGTTGAGATATTTCTGTGACCAGGATGTCACCCCTGCAGGTACTTGTGATACCCTGAGGACACTTCAGTGCTGTTTCTCCAGAAGGTCTGAAGGTGAACACTTCATCACCCTCAGGGGTCAGACACACGACACAATTGGATCCCCTATCAGACACCAGGATGTTTCCTGTCCTTAAAGTACAAAGGTAGTTGGGAAACTGTAAGATAGTGTTACTATTCAGCTGAGGACTGATTGACCTGAGCACGTTTCCTGTCATATCTAGGATATCAACAGAGGGAGGAGACTGGGAACTTGCTGCGAGTGTTGATGGTGTCAGAGATGTAATGCCCACGTACATTTTGCTGGTTGTGATGGTTGACAGCAGTACCAGGTCGGGGTTGACTCCGACTGTTACTATCTCTTTTATCTGTGGCACTGCAACAGCTACCTGATTGTGACTCAACTTCGTCAGACCCCATGGTTGACTGTTCAGACTTAGTCGACCCTGACAGGGTTGACTGTTCCTTGTATAGAAAGACTTAACACAGTTGTTGTACTGGTCTGTGATGACAATAGTATCTGTTCCGTCTGCAGCCAGCATCGTCATGTCAAAAAGGATCAGTTGCACTCCCATCTCCTTCTACTCTGGGGTTGATTGTGTCAAGTGACACAGGACTGGCGTCCAGGTCCATTACTCCTTCATATAAGACGTCAATCTCCCCCAGTTGTAGACTGTCTATTGCTCTGCTTAGCTCACTGCTGTCCTGTCTAAATGAGATCCTCGCAATTCTTCTCCTCTCCTTCAAGTCTGCATCTCCAACACCCTCCGCATCACCTGTATCACACCTTTGATACATCTCATACACATCCATGTCACACTCAGACTGTAGAGCCTGGTCTATCAGTTCAGCTTGCTGTTGGTACACCTGAACTGTCAACTCGCCTGATTTTACATCTGCTTTCAGTTGCCCAATGTGTTGGTCTGACAACTCTTTCAGTTCAGCCAGGAGCTTCTTTTCCTTTAGATTAATCTTGTCTATGGCTTTCCTGGATGCTGACTGAATGAGTGATTCCATTTGTTCATGTCGTGCTGTTTCTGATTGAACTTTGGATTGCTGTTTTTCAACATGCTCTTTCACCTGTTCTTGTTTTGTAGATAACTTTGTCCTTGTCATTGTGATGACACTTTTCATTGTCTGCAGCTCGGACTCAATGGTGACAACCTGGTCACATTTCCTGTGGTGGATGGTACAGCATGTGTGGCACACGGCTCTCTTACAATCTTTACATAGGAATTTTATATGTTCCTCATTGTGCTCTCCACACATGACCTTCCTCTTTCTTCTGACCTTCACCTCTCCAGACAGTTCAGTGACATCATGATGACGTGTTGCTGGGATACGGTTGTGCACTCTTGCACATTTCTGGCAGAAGGCGTCATCACAGACCGAGCACCAAACGTCAGCTGGAATTGTCTCCCCATCATCTTTACAGTAACTGCAGGACATGGTATCTGAAAACCATATTTCCCCTGTTATGATCTTCTGACAAACGTTTACTGTGGCTAGTGCAACACTCCAGTTGCAGAATGAGCTACATTTAAATATACTACAAATATACTATCCCAAAAAGAAACGCATAGGCATTTTGTAATTTTTAAATATCTATTAATTACCTATTGTGGTCAAACAATCCTCAAAATATGTAACAAAAGTGTTGATAACATGATTCTACATAATTGCACAAGTGAAAAGTCGACTCTACCTGAAAATGTTGATTTTGATGAGATTTCTTACAAGAATTAAAAAGGCATCGCCACAACGCAACGGAAATCACCTTCCAGTTGAAATTGTGCAGCAAAGGGCATGCACTGTCTGGCTATAAAAATCCAGATTACTTTTGGAAATCGGCATCCGTTTTGAAGGAGTTTCAAGGTCAAATCACTACGCCAAGCCTTGACCCTGTGACACAGAACATCGCAATTGAAAGAATGCACGCTGGAGATTACCAATCTTCTGTTGCCAGGCGTCTGAATGTTAGTCTGAGCACGATATCACGGCTTGCAGCTCGTTACAACGAAACAGGTACAACAAATGACTGTCCCCGTAGAGGCAGACCTCGAGTCACCACTGCAGCCCAAGATCGGTACATCTGGGTACTACATTTGCGTGATCATACTGCCACGTGTGAGAGCACAGCGGCAAGGGTGCCTGGACTTCAGAGGATATCCGGTCAAACTGTACGGAACAGGTTGAGTGAAATTGGACTGAAAGCCAGGAGAGTCGACGTCGTGAGCATGCTATGTGGTCACCATTGTGCTCAACGTCTCCGTTATCTAAAATTGTCCACTTGGGTGCATAGACATTACCTTCTTCTAAACTGATGTCAAAATTCATTTCTTAAAGTTTATTTGTAAACGAGTTATACGTTTGGAAATGCAACATTTTCGCAACAGATTTCTGGGTTATGAATGTTTTTTTTTTAATAGTATAGAAAGAATAAAGTGGAAATATGGACATTATTGGCTCAAACAGGAGTGGTACCAAATGTGAGTCCTCTTTTTACATGGCAAATCTTCTTGCTCCAATAACACTGAAGACAAAATATAGGTAGCAGAACCAGAGGTTAAAATTCCTGTCAACTGTCACTTTTGACAGTTACTGAAATATTGCACTGGCTCATGAATGAAGTATTTTGGGATGTGACATCTAAATATTCAGTGCCAGTTGATATTTGCTGTGACAAATTAAACAATGAGCATGTTCTATTTCAAAGGTTTACCTTTAGACCCAGGACCAAATGAATCCAAGAGACCCTGGATGAGAAAACTAGGCTTGATGTCATCCGCCCAATCCTCTACTGGTCTCTTGGGATCAGACACTTTTGTCATCTTCCTGCAGAATGGACACAGGAGAGACTTGGCGCGCTGATGGCTTCTGGTTTGGTTTTGGTGTACTTAATGACACATTTCCGACAGAAGGTGTGATTGCAGTCAAGTGTACAAGGGTTGCCAAACACCTCGGTACAAATGACACAGGATAGGAAATGCTCTGTCAGTTTCTGTGAGGTTGCCATCTGAAAAATATAAAATGAAACATGCTGACTAATACATTTGCTCTCACAGGAATTTTAACCCACCACTCACATAAACAAGAACACTGAATCAAAGTAGTTACCCTTTGAGTGAGTGAGTGAGTATAGTTTACGCTGCTTTTAGCAATATTCCACCAATATCACAACGGGGGACACCAGAAATGGGCTCCACACATTGTACCCATGTGGGCAATCGAACAGGCTTTTCCGCGTGACGAGCGAATGCTTTAACCGCTAGGCTACCTCACCGCCCAGCTACCCTTTGAGATGCGAAGCAGTTCTTCACGAAACCCCAAAGTGGCTAGATCTGGAGCAGGGAGTAACATGTTTATGGAAGTTAGAATGGTCATAATACCTTCCTCTGCAATCATATTACTGTTAAGCAATGGGAAGTAACCTTGTGACAAACCACAATTAATATAATCTCCTTGAAATTGCGAGAAATTAGTTTTGGATCACCGTTATTTTCCTCACAGTAGTGCAATCCCCTCTGTCATATTTGTTAGTGGAGGAAGATGCCTATATTCAAGGTAAGAATGATATGTGGAATATCTTAACCAATCAATTGGTAACACATTGCTATTTTTCAGTGTTGCAAAACTAGATGACACGTAATAGAAATAAACACAAATAATTACTTTCAGCGTGAAAAACATGTGAAGGGGCAAAGTTGTGAGTGTTTCATGCTGAAAAATTGTGTTTGTCATTTCAGTTAATTGTTTTGGTTGATTTTTATGTAATGGTGCATATGTTAAACATGCATGTGCACATGCTAAACAATAGAGTCTGAACTAGATTACCCAGTGATTGACATCCATCTCCTCAGTGGTGGTCCATTAATTGAAATAATCGAAGATCGGTCGCACTCGCAGTGACCAATTGAGCAAGCAATCGAACATGTTTTCTCATAATCGAACACAAACAATTTTGGAACACTTGTTTGCACCAACAATATTTTTCACAAGGTTGGTTTTGTCTGTGTCATTAAATTTACATTTCATACACTACAGCTCGTTCCAAATCATGATTGAATTTATCTAAAAGACTTCTGGAAAATTATATTCCAAACATTAGCCCTCCTTTATAGATATGACATTTGCAAATGTATTTTGCGCAATTTGAAAAAAAAAAAACCCTCAAAGAACTACATATTTTTTCTTTAGTTTTTTGTGCATTAACAAAGATAACAGGAACATTTGATAAATGTTGCTAACCAATTATTTTCGATGATTGATCGGGTGTAATGGACCAATCATCAATTATGAGATTTTACCCAATTCCAAACACTAGTAATTGATCAACTGAGTTTGACAACCCCATCCCATTAGTCACTTCTTATGACAGGATTGGTTGCTGAAGACCGATTTTGGCCAGGTTCCTTACAAGTCTTGAAGGTACCTAACATCATCTCTATACCAATCTTGTCATGATGAAGAATTTGGCTTCATACACATGTCGGTGTATGTCATTTTTTCTAATTTTAACTGTTTGGGACCTTCAGGACCGAACAGAAAAGCACTTTATTTCTCTCAGGCCGAGTGCATCAGCACATGAGGTAAATACATAAAAAGCCCTGGGAGGTCAATCCAAGTCAAAAGGGTAAAAATATCATTACTTTGTTCAAAATTGGGATTTGTTTTAAAAGTTCCTATTTCCTAAGCTAGGGGTGTTTTTTAACATTGCAATAATGTAAAAATATACATTAATGCCTCTTTGTCACATACAGGCATCAAATCTACAATAACATTAAGTGAGAAAATTCCAGTTCAGAATCTTTTTCTAAAAGCAGCTAGACTTCAGGTTGAATTAAAGGCCAAGCAGGTCTAGATGAGTCGCTGACATCATTATCATATCAAGAAAATTGAAACTTTTGACATTTTTTCAATGTCAGTTTGTAACTGAAGTTGGAGAGATAGGGTATGGGTCACTTCAGATGTTGAACATATATGTTTATATCAATAATACAAAGGTATTCATGCATGCATGCACACACTCCATGGGGATAGGTCATTGAATAAAACAGTAGAAAGTTTCCATTTTTCATAACAATTCTTTATTACTTGCAATGATTCATAGATCTACATTTGGACCTTGCTTTATCTCATCATGCAACTTTCTATATATACTTCCCACCTAAAGTTTAGACTCACTAGTGTAAATATAGACACTTACTTCAGGCAACTTTTCTAAACTAACTTTTGCCAAATATTCCATACGGTTTGAAGGTACTGTTTTCACATCAGAACTGATGTATTGTAAAACAAATTTGTAACGTTGAAAAGATTGTGGTCATGAGTCCAATAAATGATGAACCTCAGTGAAAATTGGTGAATTCTTAACAAAACTTTACACCAACATGCAGCTGTTCACATGAACTATATTTGCACATGCTTTTCAGCAATTTGATGTATGATCCTCGCGCAATTCATCTGCATAAAGTTTGCAGTTGCTTCCCTAAGGTTAGTGGAGAAATCAATCTTCGATGTAACCATATATATATATATATATATATATATATATAACATATAGTGCGTGTTTTAAGTGAGTCTAAACTTTTGATGGGAAGTATATAAGTTGTATAGTCTGAGGTTTATTAAAATCCTGAAATGCATATCACTTGTAAGAAAGTTTGCGAAATAAATGAAAGGGAAGCAGTGCTTGCATGACAATTTATGACAATTCATGACAACTCAGTCACAATGTGACAAGGAAAGGGTCACTGCATTCATTTGCTGTAGAAAATCTGTGTTTATCAACATTATATAAGGGAGATAATCACACAGTAGTCAAAAACATTGTGCAATTTGTAAAATTGAATTCATTGAAATGAAAATTGTTCACACAGTTTTATATGACACTGTTCATAGAATAGATATGATAGAAGTGACCACATCCATATGAAATCTCTGCTAAGGGAGCGTTCATAATTTAGGGGGTGGGGGTGGGGGTGGGGTGTGATGATGATTTTTATGGAGAAGCATGTACAATGTGAATGACCCCCTTAAAATTTATGTACAAAATAAGTGAACCCCCTGCATGCCATGTACAAAATCAATGACCCCCTCCCCTTCCCATAATTTCTAAGCATAATTTTAAACATACTTTTATGTACAAAATTGCTGACCCCCAGTATGTGTGTACAAAATTGATGACCCCTAGCCCCCAGAACAAAATGGGTGACCCCCTTAAAATCATCATAAGCCCCCCTAGCCGTAAATTATGAACGGTCCCTAAAAGCAGAGTCAATTGTACAGTTGTGACTTAATCATGAGTATATATTTGTTTCAGCAGTATTGCAACTGTACGATGTTGTTTGTAAACCAACTGAGTCTGGACCAGACAATCCAGTGATTATCACCACGCGATCTATTGACACTTTATGCTACAGGAGATCTCATTTGTTTGAATGGTAATTTGTTGATGCCTTGCAACAATGTTTTCTCTATAGGACAGTGAGTAAAAGCCTTGTGACAAAGTAAGCCCTGTTCATGGCCCAACCGGATGGTCTTAAAGGGGGCTGTTAAAAGACAGTTACTGTAATCAGTGAAATTTAAGGCATTTAGTCAGGAGTGATTCTTTTTCAGGTTATTATTATTATTATTTTTTTATATATTAAAAACGCATGGATAATGGATAGAGAACATACTGTCAAGCTGAATCTAAAACGTGCTCCATTACTCTCAATTATGCAGATTATCAGTATCCCTTAAAGGTAACACTAAGATAACTTGTTCTCATTTTGATCGACTGTTGCAGTTTGTGACTTGCTATCACTAAATTATGTTGTGTTGGATCTAATCATATACAAGATGCATATAGACAATTATGGATGACTATGATAAAGAATATAGATTTAATTTAAGCTTAGTGATTCTCTATTGACATATTTATGTTAATCCTTTATTAATACAATAAACAGTCACCAAACATTTATGTCCTTATGTCAACAATATTACATCAGAACAAGCGTTTGATAGATTACACATCAGCCCACTGTTACAGATTTGGAGGACAAAGAACACTACGCATTATGTTATTTGGTGTCCCAAATCTCAATGATGTACTGAAAAGAAATCTACTGAACATCATTAAAAACGCACCACTTATAAAAGTTCAGATTATTAAAAGCATGTGTAAGGAATTGATATTTTTTGTGTGATAATAGCAGATGGACGAATGACAAAAACAACAACACAGAAAAGACGCTCAATCATTCAAATGTTCGACAGTCAGAAAGGATCAAACACACGTGGGGTCAAATCGAAAAGTCAATATCGCGTGTGACCGCCATTTGCATTGACACATGCAGTTCAACATCTCCTCATTGAGTCAATAAGCATCCGAATAGAGTTCTTGAGGATGGCATTCCACTTCTGCAGTAGTGCAGCCTCGAGTTCCCGGATGTTTCACATCTGTTGTCGCCGCGAAAGACTTTGACTAATTTCGTCCCACAAGTGCTCCATGGGGGAGACATCTGGCGACTGTTCTGGCCAATGAATAACCTGGATGTGTTGATGGGCCAGATGCTGCATGGAAAGTCTTGTCGTGCGTGCCCATGGCTGTCCTGTTGAAAAGTATGGACATCTTGGTGGTGATTGAAGACAGATATGATGTGATTCTGAAGAATCTGCTCACGGTAATAAAGGGCATTAACTCTCCCTTGACAGACATGAAGGCAGTCCTGTGATTGTAATTTATTCCACCCCAGACCATGACACTCCCACCACCCAAAGGTCTGTCTGAACCACACTCTCATCAGCATAATGTTCACCACGTCTACGCCAAACACGTAATCGGCCGTCAGCATTACGTAGATGAAGACGTGACTCGTCAGTGACTACCACACTATGCCATTGTTGTAACCTTTACTGAAAATGCCTGCTAGCCCATTGTATACGCTCATTACGGTGTCTGTCAGTCAGAATTGGTCCCACGTAAGGACGTCGAGCATGGAGCCCTGAAGCGTGTAGACGGCGTCGCAT